TTAAAGTCTGCAGCCCGGGGGCCGGTGACAGGCTGTCCTTCCATGTAACCGCAGCTCATTCCCAGGATAAATAACGGCTGCCTATTCCTGACCCTGAACCGACCTGCGTGGGGAGGCAGACCCCCCCCCCCGCGCCCGTCACATGTAGCGCAGCCTTGCTCATTTTCCTCCGCTTCGGCGCCTCCCCTCCCTGAACGAGCACGCGAGCACGCTTTGCTGTGGGGTCACGTCGGAAAAACTCTCCCTCCGTCGTGGAAAACGATTTGCCAGCCGCGGAAAAGTCAGCTGGGATATTAAATCCGACCTCCCACCTCTATAACGCTGCCCTTATTGAGGCGAGCTGGTGGAAAAAACCAAAACAACGCCTTACGGCCTGTTGATTTCAATCGGCGGTTCCCCACCTGTTGACCTTAAGCACCTAGCTTGATGAAACAACGCAGTTGATCTCAGAGCGCCTGGGCTCAATTTGTGTTTTCTACGATTTACCTTCTACCCCCAGAAAGAAGATTGTGTGCCCCCCCGCCCCCACATTAAGAAACCACTGATTTAAAGGGTCAGACGTTGCCTGCATTTGCGTTTCAGCTCAAGTGTTCCTCCTGCTCACAGGCCTGAGCAGCTCGTGTCTTGTTCTTGTTTAAAACGAGGAGCGTGCTCTTCCGCTACACTACAGAGCGACAGGGGCAGCAGCTGGGGTCGAGTGATAAGTGATCGCTGTTTCGGGAGTGCTGAGGTCTGTTTGGCCGGGAGCTAGCTCACGAGATAACATCGGACATGTTCATTCCAGCTCCCAACAGCTTCAGAGCTGGACCAGATGAGGAGAGCTTTTCCCACAGGCCGCCAGGACCCTCCGCCTACTGAGAGAAGAGGGAAGAGCAGGGGGCTGTGTCAGGGGCTCACCGATCTGAGCAGCTGTGCAGGAAGACAGGAGCCCCTCGTGGCGAAGCCTCTCTCCGGGGGGACAAGGGAGCTGGACCGAGAGGGAAAGGGGTGCTGGGCAAGAGGGAGAGCAAAAGACAGAAGAGGCCGGAAGGTCTGGAGGTTCGGGTGGAGGGTGAACATCTGGGGGGCGTATTCCAACGGCAAGGAGGAGAAACTAGAGAATAATAACTCTCCACTCTGGACCCTCCACTCAGAGCTCTTTACAGGTCATGGGGATCCCCTCCAGCCCCACCAGTGTGCAGCCCCACCTGGATGATGCGCCAGTCCGCTCCCCACACACCAGCTCTCAGTGGGGAGGAGAGCAGAGTGATGAAGCCAGTTCAGAGATGGGGATTATTAGGAGGACATGACTGGTAAGGGCCAAAGGGAAATTTGGCCAGGACACCGGGGTAACACCCCTACTATTTTTGAGAAACACCCTGGAATTTTTATGACCACAGAGTCAGGACCTCAGTTTTAAGTCTCACCCGGAGGACGGCGCCTGTTTACAGTATAGTGTCCCCTGCTGTCCTCACTAACTCCTCTTCCAGCAGCAGCCTCAGCTTTCCCAGGAGTCTCCCATCCAGCTACTGACCAGGCTCACACCTGCTGGGCTCCAGTGAGCAGCAGATGCTGACTATTTGCTGACATTGCTAACTAGAGAACTTGAGATACTGCTGTTCGGTGCAATGCAGGTTTCTGGAGTTAAAGTTTTTTTTAGTTTTCTTTAAGGCTCACGTGCTGCTTATCATCCCAGTGTGACAATGTTAGAGATACTACTATAGAAACGAGTGGCCATGCGGTTAGGGCTCTGTACTACACCTCCACATTGTGGACAGTCCAACCCCTAATTTTGTGGTCAGCTAAATAAACGCCAAGCCAAAACTGTTCAAGCCCCCTTTCGCTGGTCTAGTTGTTGGGCTTGAGTCCCGGATTCGTTGCAAAAAAGTCTTTTTTTTTTTAAGAAACCAGAATTACCAGCAGACTAACATTACTAGAAACACCTGGACAAGTCCTGGGACTCAAAATCGCCGCCGGACAGTTGCCCAGGTGAGTTGCCGAAGACCTCTGAACTCCCCCCAAAACTGCAGGGGTAGAAGTTTGTTCCCCCCCCCACGTCCTCAGAAGACCATGTAACGACATGTAATGTGACCCCACAGGCCAAGAATGGGAACTTTTTTGTCCCCTCCCATGCCTACAGGGGGGAGGGGAGGAGAGGGGCTGCTTGGGAGGATTGAAAGTTTCCCGATTGAAGTTTGTGTTTTCCCAGGGTGAAAACCACCCGCAGAGCTGGGAGCACAGAGACGTTCTGAGGCCAGCAGGGCCCTTTGGGCATCGGAGCCGGAGCACCAGGAGTTGTTAAGTCGGCACAGGCTGCAGGCGGTATGGGGGAGAGGAGGAGGGGGGGGGCTGTTTGTTTGGGGATGGAGGGGTTGTGGGGGAGATCGCTAGGAGCCTTTGCTGGCTAGGCCTCCTCTCTGCGTCACCTCTGAAGAATTTCTGCAGCCCAACCAACCCCTCCGGCTGCCAAAGGAGCTGCAGACAATTCCTCCTCGTGCTCCTTTCTTCCCAAACGTTCCAGTGCAGCGCAGCGTTTATGGATGTTTCAAGAGGGCCAACACATCAGCGCTCCCTTTTCCTGAGCGCCAAAGTCCTCCTTTTTTAACGAGGACGGATTTTTTATTTTGGCCCCGCAGCCACCAAAAAAATACCCCCCTTTTTTGGCACCTGTGTACAGCTTTTAAATCTGGAAAGTTCAGTTCAGTTTATTTGTCATGTGCACCAGTGCAGCGAAAAGCGGATTTGCACGTCTGCTTCCACACAAAGACATTAAGGAAACACCAAAAACACAAACACAGAACAGCAGCAGCAGCAGCAACAAGTTAAATAACGCACAACTTAAAACACATATCAGTATGAGTCAGTGGTAGGGGTAGAGGTCAGTAATCTGACTGCTTGAAGGAAGAAACCGTCTCTGAATCTGGAAGTTCGTGTCTTTATGCTCCTGATGTTGTTATAATCATCGGCTGATTATAACGCTGACCAGAGGGCAGGGGGAGAAAAGTGAGGAACCAGGATGACTGGTATCCTGAGGGATACTCCCAGCCTTCCTGAGACAGCGAGCTGTAAAGGGTAGTCAAGTCCTCTTCTCTGCAAATTTCCAGGCAGGAACTGGTTGGGCCGATGGGCGACACAGACAGAGGACCCTGGCGTCTCTGCGGGCAACCTGACCCATATAGACAGCCGAGAATCGCCCAGGAGGCACAGAACTCTGCCTGGGCAGAGGCACAGTCCAGCAGGTCCAGCACACGCACTGTATTTAAATAGCGTCTATCATGCCAACATGAGGACCTGTACACTCTCACTCCCAACATGCACATACAGCATGAAACGGGAACCTGGACCAGCCACGCTCCAGAGATAAAATACCTTTTAAAGAGAGAGCTTATTTATTAAGGGACTGGATGGAGCAAACATGATCTCAGCTAGGGGCCGTCGGCTAGGGATCGAGTGGAAATTGAAGTAACAACAAGGAGGGGTTTGTTTTTCTGCCCCTGCACCCGGCACCCTGTGCTTTTCGGTTCTCTTTTGGCTTCGCCCTCCTCCTCGGCTCTGCCAGAAACCAACAGCTCCTCCCAACCAGGAGGAGAGGGAGCCTCACCCCCGTCTTCGCAGTGTCACCCCGTTTGTGCCAGGGCTGGCCGATTTACCCAGCACTCCATCCCTCTGCTGCTCTCCTCTCCCCCCGACACTGTGGCCCGGCCCGGCCCAGCGGTACCACTCACCCAGCAGGAACCTCCTCTGCCAACAGTCCTCCTGCTGGTCACTGCTCCCTCCCTGGGTCACTGGAGGGGCAAGAGCTATGTACACATCCAGGGAACCAAATAATGATAAATCCTCACACTTATATAGCGCTTTTCTGGACACTCCACTCAAAGCGCTGTACAGGTCATGGGGATCCCCTCCACCACCACCAGTGTGCAGCCCCACCTGGATGATGCGCCAGTCCGCTCCCCACACACCAGCTCTCAGTGGGGAGGTGAGCAGAGTGATGGAGCCAGTTCAGAGAGGGGGATTATTAGGAGGCCATGATGGGTAAAGGTCAGGGGGAAATTTGGCCAGAACACCCCTACTCTTTTTGAGAAACACCCTGGAATCTGTAATGACCACAGATGACTCGTTTTTTTGGCTCATCCAAAGTACGCAGCCTTTTATACAGTCTAGTGTCCCGGTCACTATACTAGGGCATTAGGATCCACACAGACGGCAGGGTGAGCGCCCCCTACAGGCCCCACTAACACCTGGTGGAGGTGGTGGAGGGGATCCCCATTACCTGTAAAGTGCTTGGAGTGGAGTGTCCAGAAAAGCGCTATATAAGTGTAAGCAATTATGATAATTATTATTACCTCTTCCCAGGAGTCTCCCATCCAGGTACTGACCAGGCTTACATCTGCTGAGCTTCAGTGGGCTGCCGGTGGTGAGCTGCAGGGTGATATTGCTGCTGTGGCTATATGATAAGAATTAACTAGATCTGGAGGCTTATTTTGTAGAATGTACAAAGGCATTGACCAAAATAGCTGGAAGAGCAGGGTACTGTGGTCACAGTGCCTGAAAAGCGCTTGCATTTCACCGTGGTCTATTTGCAGCTTCACTCTGCGAGCGCACAGCGGCTCTAAGCAAAATCCCCCGAAGACACAAGAACAAAAACGGCAGCTTTCTTCAGAGCCTCTCCTACAGGGGTCCCAGTCCTCAACAGCCATTACGCTGTGACAGGGTTTCCAAACTAACCAGCCCATCGGCTGATTAAAAACAACAAAAGACACCTCAAACACTTGGAGTTAACTTCAGCAGGACACCAATAGCTGAGTCTGGAGGGAGTGTCGAATCTTAAAGTCACGAAAAAAAGTGCGATTTGGAGTTTTTTGTGCCATGATGATCGTTCACATTTCTTATTGTTGGATATGGTACCATGTAATAATTTTTCTTTTCCCTTCAAAAATTGAACATAGAACACAAAATGAGTGCTAGCTTGACTTATAAATAAACAAGTGTGCCTGGAGCTTGTAGGTGAAAACAACCACCAGAACGTCACCCCATTTTCTTCTCTACAACTTGCTCAGCTGCCAAGAGTGGCACGATCCCACCTTGTAAACATTTACAGAATAGAGTGGACCACAGCATGACAGTGGACACAGTACAAAAAAGACTACCTACCTTTCTCTTCTGAGATTTCACAAACTTCAAGTCCCCTTCAGGCAATAAGCCAGGACAAGTTGTGGTGTATTCCTACCTCTCTGACCAATATCTTATCAGGAACCAAGTTCACAACACCAAACAGCTTTTGTGGTTCAGTACTTAAGCTTTTGATCCTGCAACATGAGAAACAAGAAATGCTACCGAGTTATTTAAGTGTCTCACTGTGTTCGTTTATTGTTTTAAATACAGGGGCAACGGCGGATGGCAAATATGCAGTCCAGTTCATCTCGGATCACCCTGCAATGAAACGAGGGCTCCCACTCGGAGATCAGACTCTTTTGCCTGTCCCATTTCAGATTTGAAGAGCATTAAAAAAAATCTTGTACAAAAAAAAACAACAGAAGACAAACTGGTCTAACACACCGTGCACAGTCCAGAAAACCTCAGCAAATCTGGCCTTTAACTTAGTCTCGTACTAACGCCTGCGGTGGCACTGAGGGGGTGTCAGGTGTGTAAAGCCCAGGCCGGGCTGACATTCTCTCGTTCGTGCTCAGGTCCTGTAAAAGCACTGCGAACTGAGGCTTGAAATAGGTTGCCAGGGCAACCTCATAACCTGACCTACGCACAGAACGCCTACACAACGAGCACTGTTGTTTTTAGCTGCTTTTATTTTGGACGCTTCGAGGGGAGGGAGGTGTCCACATGAGCGTGCGAGCGAGCATGTTGTGCGCACGAGAAAGGAAAGGCAGAGAAAACACGAGCGTGCTTAGCTTAGCGCGAGAGCACGGGTGGGGGGGGGGGGGAGGGCAGAGGAAGACTGAGGTCGAACGAGCACACACCTCTGCCCGGCGTCTGTATTTCTCTGGGTTCAAGAGCCACTCGGAGCAGTTGGTCGGAGCAGAAGGCGGAGGGTCAGGGGGTACGTACACCCTGCGTTCCCAACTGCGTTCACATGTGGGCGTCTACTGTCACATGGGCCTGTTTTCCTGGCTGGTGCTGTCGGTTTTCAGGCTCGAGATTTTTTTTTTTTTAAACCGGACGAGGACAAAACCGAACGTGCAAAAGCACGGCCATGCACGCGCGCACACGCGCACACGCGCACGCCGATGCACCATTAATATTCCCCCCCCACCCTTGGCTCCTGTGGAGTTACCCCCTCCCACGTCTCTTAGTGTTACTCTCCCATCCTCGTGTGGAAGAGGTTCTGAAGAAGCAGCAGCAGAGAACTTCATGGGAACAGGGGTGTGTGAGGGGCTGAGCGCTTGTTTGCCCTCTCAGCAGGTTCTTTAGTAACGAAAGCGAACCCGTCGCGTTTTGGGTTCTGTCTTCTTGAACGACCTATTTTTCCCCAGAGTGAGGGAGGCCCCTATGCAGAGGACAAACCTCTGGGGGGGGGTCAGAGACCAGGGTTTGGAGATGTCAGCTTTCGAAGGTGGTTCGAGTATCTGACTGGTTCTCTAGCTGACTTTCCACCCATCCAGCAACTACAGCTGCTTCCTGGGGCTGTTCTAGGGCGAGAGCGGGCACCCTTAACCTTGCCGTCAAGGATCTGAAGGGTTCTGGGAAATCTGCTCCTTGTGTCTTTGATTAGTAAGGTATGGATGGTGCTGTCAATCAGGAGATGTATGTAAATCAAATGGGAGGAGTTGGGCAACTTGGCCTGTCCAGATCTTGAAGCCCCAATGGCAAGATGCAGGAAATTATTTTTAAAAACCATCAGTACCGCCAACTGCCTTGGGCTGCACTCGCTCGACGTTGGCGTTTTTCACTGGGCTCCGGACCCCCGCGACCTCAGATGGAGGAGCCCGTGGAAGTGTGGGGGGGCCGACTCCCCAAGACCTGCTCGCCTTCGAGCGCGTCCCCGGCAAGCAGCCCCATACAGGAGGAGGTTCGGCGCCGCCGGGACACCCCGCCATCCTGGACAGGCGCGCGGGACGAGCTCCGCAGAAACGACTCTTGAGCCTCGACGAGACAGGGGAGAAGAAACCCCCACCCAGCCAGCCCAACACTCCCAACCTGCCCGGTGCCGGTCAGGGCGTCTGCACTTGGCGACCTCCGAGAGAGCTCACGCCAACTGGAGGACCGGGGTCCAAGTCCGCAGGTGTCCCTGCAGCACAGAGAGAGGTCGGGGCCCTGGTTGGCCGAGGCCTGTCCTATCCCAGCAGGCCACACTGTAGGGACGCGCTCCTGCCCCACGTTCATTCCAGTGAAGCATTTCGCTCCCAACACACCCGTCAAGGCCATCCCATAAAACCCCTGTTACAGCGGACCCTGCGGTAACGGAAATCGGTTCAAACTGATTCCATTTGAAGCGAAGCTTCAAGTCCGCAAAACAGCCCAGGCAGATTTTTTTTTCCTGGTCTGTAGCTGTTACCTCACCTGCAACTGGTTAAAACATTCAGAATACACCGATACCAGTATACACAGCTATATAGTAGAGGTCATTTGTTTCCTACGAATAAATCATACCTGAAGCTTTTAACCCGCCCCCCCACAAACACACACCCCATTCAAACCGAACAAGACAACACCCCCACCCCCCAAAATCCTAATTTACACCCAGCGAAAGCCGCGACAAAGGATAGAACAGTTAGAAGAGGGTTAGAATGGACAAAAAAAGGGGGGGGGGGAGGAGGAATGAGGATTGTGGAGCTCTAAAAATAAAGGAGTCGCTGTTTAGAAAAAAAAAGAGGAAAAGAAATGTTGCAGGGCTTAAAATAGCTGTCCAAACAAAGGCGTGAATGAGCGCCGCGCTTTCAGAAGGAGCCCTTTCATTCCGCGCGGCTCCCTCGCTTCCCCTCGGCGTTGCTAGGCGACGTCACTCACGCTGCCCGCGGGCTCCAGGTACTTGACACCGGCGGCCGAGCCGAGAGAGAGAACGCGAGCCCGGGCCCGGGCCCGAGCCCGAGCCCGAGCCGCCTCTTTTCACACCGGCGATTTGAATTTAAAAATAACGGACGTGGCGGGGTGGCGAGGGGGGGTTTGTGAAGACAAAAACGGTTTTTTAAAAAATCCCCCCAACACACACCATTCAGAATTCAAAGGAGGAGGGAATTATACCAGGCCTAATAATAATGATAATTAGCAATTTTTTTGTAAGTGTGTGTGTGTGGGGGGGGAGAACAAATCCTTTTAAGTAAAAATAGTGCTCATTAAAGCGAGTTTTGAATGGGATTATAAAAGGAACGACTGTCCCCCGCACTTTCGGGTTATTTATTGATCTGTTTCTTTATTCTTTTTTTTTTTGGCTGCTGTGGTCCATTAACAGACAAAAATCAGCCTCCTGTTGGGTTTTTTTTCCTCCCCATGATCAAATGAGCCATTAACAGGAGGTTGCTAGATGAAAATGAGATGCACAGGTGCAGTCTGGAATTTATTTCCATTCGTTAAGTATATTTTTTAACTGGTTTTATTTTTTTGGAAAATCACCTATACCTATCCCACATATTTAGAATGAGACGCGCAGTACTGAAATATTTGACTGGAGGGGTTTCTACAACTTTCATCTCACAGG